TCTTATAAACATGAAGAAGTTGAATTTGAAACTAATATCCTCCACAAAAAGGAAATTCTAGGCCCAGATGGTTTCTTGGGAGAACTCCATGAGACATTTAAGAAATAATTAGTACCGGGGTGCCTGGGTGGCTCAGTGTAAGTTTAAGCCTCTGCCTTCACCTCAGGTCATGATCTCAGGGTCCTGGGATCAAGCCCCACATCAGCAGGGAGCCTGCTTCCCCCTCTCTCTCTGCCTGCCTCTCTGCCTACTTGTGACCTGTCAAATAAATAAATAAAATCTTAAAAAAAAAAGAGAAAGAAATAATTAGTACCACTTTAACACAAGCTCTCCTAGAAAACAGAATACTTCCTAATTCTTTATGAGGCCAGAATTAACCTTGATGTTAAAACCAGACCAAGACAACATTAAAAAAAGAAATTACAGACCAGTATCTTTCATCAACTTAGACACAAAAATCATTAACCAATTACCAAGTCAAATTTGACAATGAACTAAATGGAAATGACTCAGATATGAAACACTGGTTCAGTAATGGAAAATCCATTAATGCAATGTGCCATATCAAATAGAGAATAAAGAAAAATCATGCTTGTATCAACAGATGCAGAAAAAGCATCTGACAAAAACCAAAAGCCTATTCACAATAAAACTTAACAAACAAGGTATATAGGGGAACCTCCCTGAATCTGTAGAGAGAGCACTAACTACACTAATGTCAAGCTTAATAAAGATAAATGCTTTCTCCTAAATTCGGAAACAAGTCAAGGCTTTTGCTTTTACTACTCTTATTCAGCATAGTGGTAAAAGTTCTAGCCAGCATAATAAGGCAGGAAAAAAGAAATAAAAGGCATACAAATTTAAAAAGAAGCGTAACTATCCTTATTTACAGAATACATGACTGTCTATACAGAAAATTCCAAGATGTCTCAAAAAACAAAACAAAACAAAAAACCTTTTAAAGGTGAGTTCAGCAAGGCCAAAAGATAAATGGTCAAATATTAAAAAACAAAACAAAACAAAACACACATTTCTATATACTAACAACACGTGGAAACCAACATTAAAAATACAATGCCATTAAAATAAAATAAAATACATTACCATTTATAATCACCACATTATACTTAGGTATAAATCAAACAAAACATGTACAGAATCTATGTGCTGAAAATTACAATGCCAATGAAAGGAATTTTAAAAAAGACCTAAATAAGTGGGGAGCTATACTGTATTCACAGATTGGAAGAGTCAACATAATAAAAATGTTAATTCTCCCCAATTTGATCTTAGTGTAATTCCTATCAAAATTCTATCAAGGCTTTCTGTAGGCATAGACAAAGTGAATACGAAATTTATATGTTAAAGCAAAGAGTAGCTAAAATATGGAAAAGGCAAGAAATCTTTCATTTAAAACAGGAATAAGCATTCTATCTGATGTTAATGCTTACCATTTACCTGTACTGACAGTGCAGTACTGTCAGAGGGATGGATAGGCACACACATCAAGGGAAGACCACAGGGATTTCAGAAAAAGATTGACACAAACATTATAAACTGATTTTTGACAAAGATGCAAAAATAATTCAGTAAAGGAAGGACAGCCTTTTCAACAAATTATATGGCAACAAGTGGACATTCATAGGCAAAAAAGTGGATCTTGACTTGAATTTCATATATTATATAAAAATCAACTCAAAATAGACCAAAACTTCAATATAAAATGTAAAACTATAAAAATTTTAGGAAAAAGAGAAGGAGGAGGAGGAGAGGGAAAGAGAGAGAGAAAGAGAGAGAATGTATCTTCAGGACCTGAGGCTGGCCAAGAGTTTTACATCTGACTTTACCAAAAACATGATCCACAAAAGCAAAAATCAAAGCTCAACAAAATTAAAAATTTTGCAAGATTCTGTTAAGAGGGAAAGATTAGCCACAAGAGTAGGAGAATGTACTTGCAAACCACCCACCTCAAAAAGGACTAGAATATATGAAGAACTCAAAGTTCAACAATTAAATAAAAAACAGACATTTCACCAAAAACAATAAACCGATGGCAAGTAAGTATACAAAAAGATATTCCTCATCGCTGCCATCAAGCATACTTCAAATTACCACACAGTAAGACATTACAACATACCTAGCAGAATGGATAAAGCTAACAATTTTGACACCACCAAATGCTAGCAATGATATGGAGAAACTGAATCACTCGTATATTCCCCAGGGAAATGTAAAATGGTACAGCAACTCTGGAAAACAGTTCAGCAGTTTCTTAAAAAACTAAACATGTACTTATCATATGACCTAGGATTGCACTCCTGAGCGTTTATACCAGAGAAATGAAAACAGGTTCTTGCAAAAATCTTTGCTTAAATGTTTAGTAGCTTTATTTCTAACAGCCAAATACTGACAACATCCAAGTGTCCTTTAACAGCTGAAAGGTTAAACTGAATATGGTACATCTATGTCACAAAATACTATGCAGCAATAAAAAGGAATGAGCTGTTGATACATGTAACAAAGTTGATGGATCTCAAAAGAATCATGCTGGAGGAATATGAGCGTGCCTAAAAAAGGATAGCAAAAGGGACCCTTCTGGTGATGGAAGAGTTGTACACAATCATTATAATACTGGTTATGCAAATCTATATAATGTGATGGAAATACACAGAAACACAAATACATAGAAATAAGTGCGTGAAAAACTGATGAAATCTGACTATGGTCTATAGAGTGAACCAGTACCAATTTTCTGAATTTGATACTGTACTACAGTAATGCAAAAATGTTACCATTGTGGGAAAGTGGATGGAGGGCACAGGGGACCAACCCGTACTTTATTATTTTTTTCTAAGATTTTATTTATTTGACACAGAGAGAGAGGCGGGCAGGCACAGAGGAGAGGGGGAAGCAGGCTCCCTGCCGAGCAGAAGAGCCCAATGTGAGGCTTGATTCCAGGACTCTGGGATCATGACCTGAGCCGAAGGCAGACACTTGACCGACTGAGCCACCCAGGTGCCCCTCCAACCTGTATTATAAAAGAAAAGTCCAACAAATCTATAGTTTTTTCAAAATAAAATTCTTAAAAAACCCCAAAAAACAAAATACCTTCCAACAAAGAAATGTCCAGGCCCAGATAGTGTCACTGGCGAATTTGAGCAAATATTTAAGAGAAAAAAATATCAATCTTATACAAGTATTTCTGAGAATGAGGAACAACAGTACTCCTTTCAACTCATTATATAAGGGTAGCAAAAACCTGATGTGTATTAAAAAAAAAAAAGGAAATTACAGGTTAATATTCCTCATGAATACAGACCAAAAAACCTTAACAAAATGTTAGTAAAATAAACAGAGCAACATATTTGTAAACTAAAAGGCCAAAGCTATGTTAGGCTTATCTAAAAATAAAAGGCTGATGCAGTACTGAAAAATAAAATGAAATTAATCGCATTAACTGTGAAGTGACGATAATCAAATGTGAATTTGACCAAGCCTTTTAAACAGAAACTATCAACTAAAAAGAAACTGTAGTCCCTGCTTCTCACCCAAAAACACTAACCCAAAAACGCTAAGGAGGACCACTGAAAAAGATAGTTCTAAGTCTCTCAGTAGTCAAATGAAATCAGGGAGAGCTTTATCAGCAACTGGAAAACATATACACAAAATCTTGCTTGAGAGTCAACATTTTCACACTTTATTTTTATTAATGCTAGACTTTTAAATGTTCACATTTTACATATGGTTACTTTTTGAATAATTCATTTTCATTAACCTTATTTGTGGTAAGTTGTACTAGAATTTTATTTTTAATATTAAAAACTAAAATATTTCTATTGGTATTTTACATTGCACCAATGTTACGCTACTAATTTTTAGTTGAAATGTATTAAATAGTTTCAAAGTTTTTTTTATTCATTTCACTTCAATGAATCCTGAATACTTTAAATGAAATAAATACCAACCAAGATACCAATATTGCCAATTTTTCCCTCGTATTATAGTAACTATTCCAAGTCTTCAACTTCCTACTAGTTGTAGATCCTATTTAATGGATTAATATTTTCATATATATGTTGACAAAATAAGTTTGAATTTTGTTTATAAAGATTTTTAGAATACCACTAAATGGTGAATGATCTGGAAGCTACTAAAACTCTTCTCACTTGCCTTTCAAATCACACTTAACATGTGATCTTAAGATATGTTATCAAGTAAGAATTACATTATTATAAGCTAGAAATAAAATTACCTTCATTCAAATATCTAACTTCAAATAAAATTACCTTCTAGAAATAAAAAAACCTTCAGAGACAACCTCCAGGAACTTAATGATTGCATTTCTTCCACCTTATCCCACTAGGGGGCATCAAAAAAGCATCTTTGTCCCCTTTTACCAATCTCTACAAGGGAGGAAGAAGCCTATGTCTTTTAAGACTGAATTGTGTAGTACAGAAAAGGAGATAGTACGGTAGGAAGGGCATTTGTTTGAAAGCAGAAAAGATAGGGAAACTCTCCCTCTTGCTGAGAAAATCTGGGGCTCAGTTTCTTCAGGGGTAAAACACATACTAACATGTATCTTGGCATGTGATTGTAAGAATTAAGTAAAGTAACATTTCACACAAAAAGTGCTTCATATAAGGTGGAGAATAACAGTTCACAAACACAGAATTCAAAAGAAAGGAGAAATATTCAGAGATGGTAGCTCTATTTTCTCATTTTCTAACCTGCAGTAAGCACATGCTAATTAGAATCACTAGGAATATTAGATAATTTATATCCCAAATGCAGAAGAAAACATATGACTTACAAAAACACTTCATTCAAGAAATAAATCATACACTGGTGATTGTATTACAAATACATTTCTAATATTACAGATTGAGAATTCGTGAGTTTGCTTACTTGGTAAGTAATACCTAGAGAGATGAAATTCTAATGCATAAACTACACACCCCTTTGATGAATTAAATCTTCCTTTTAAGAATTAAGCACCTCACCTAATCAGAACAGAGTCCCTAGTATAGCCACCGTCATATTCCGTAGTTTCTTCTAGTGCTTGGAAATCTAGATTCTGAAAATTCAAGAAAATATGTCTTAATATATATACCATACCATTACAAACAATAAATCAATTGGATATTTTTGCAGACACTTTGCTTTCTTACCCGGCTTCCACATATAAGCAATTCAATTTCCTCTGGTCTGAATAAATACTTTAAGGGAGACTCATTGGTCACCATATGAAAACCTCTCCGAAAGGCTTTGAATTGTTTTTCTACTGATTTATTGAGAATGTAGTCAGAATAGAGATTGACAAATTCCTGCAGAAAACATTAACCACAAGAACTTCTTATAATATGCTATACAAATAAAACACAACAAGATACTGGGCTGCATATCCTTTTGTTTTTATTTTCCCAAAGAAGAACCATCAAGAATATTTTTAAAGATTCAAACCTTACACATACAAAGGAAAATACAGGTATACCTCAGAGATATTGTGGATCTGGTTTCAGTCCACCGCAATGAAGCGAGTATTGCAATAAAGTAAGTCAAATGAATTTTTTGGCTTCCCAGTGCATATAAAATTTATGATTATGTTATGCTGTAGTTTATTAAGTTTGTAATACAGAATACCTTAAAAAATGTACATACCTTAATTTTAAAAATACATTGCAAAAAAATGCTAAGCATCATTTGAGGTTTGAGTCATAATCACTGAGCACAGATCATAACAAATATAACAATGATGAAAAAGTTTAAAAAGTCTGAATTACCCAAGTGTGACACAGAGACTCAGAGTGAGCAAATGCTGTTTGAAAATGGTGCTGACAGACTTGCTCAAGACAGGGTTGCCATAAACCTTCTAATTTATGGGGAAAAAAAGCAACATCTGCAAAGTGCAATAAATTTGTACAATAAAACAAGGTATGCCTGCAATTTCAACGATTTCACAGCTCTCTGCAATAGCCAATATTGAACTATAAAAAGGCCATGTACATAAACTAAATATAAATATGTTTCAATTTTGATATTATATTAAGCAAGACTGAATATAAAAGCTGGACCTCAATACAATTTTGAGATCCCTCAACCAGGTGTGCAAACACAGAGACATTTAAATCGTATACATCTATTTATAAAAGCTAACAATGCAATGGACCTGATTTGAGCAAACCAGGAAGCCTCATGTTGTCTATGCTACAATATTTGAGAAGGGGCCTACTGTATCCAGTTCAGCAAAAATGCTGGTATTTTACTTGATACGTAAGCTACTATATCAAATCATAAAAGGTAAATGCACTTTGTATCCTAACTTGGAGAATATTTTATCAAAAATTATGCTGTTATACACATTTTTTTAAGGCTTACTATTTATTATCTTAATTTTCCTGTCATGTTCTGGATTATTCCCAATTTCCGAATGGATACAAAAAACCTATCTGATTCAACACTTTTCACTAGCGTATTTAAGTCACATATATATGTGTATACACTAAAGATAATGATCACTTGTTTGGAGAGAAGGATTTTAATCATGATGTCCCTGTTCCCTCTCCCATGTGGAGTCTAGTATCAGAAACACACTATTTCTTGCCTTTTTTACAGCCACACTATTTCATTCACTATCTCCTACTCCTGTCCTCTCTCTTAGAAAGGCTTTAGTGCCCAACTACAGGCTCTCATACCAGCTTATATTCAAGATTTAGGAAATGGGCTATTTCATTTACAAGGAATTTGATTACTTGATTTCTTGAGTTTTTGTATGAAGTATTTGATACTTCTTTAAAAATTACAAGCATATATGCTTTAAAACTCTGTTAATAAAGAGACAAAGACAATGATGGTATTAAAACACTTATTACCTTCCTGTTTTCATTCGTAATTGGAATTTTATCACCATTTTCCTTTAGATCATACATCATGGGATTACCAAAGAGGTCTGTCTGAGATATCTGGAAAGTGATCATCATGTCATCTTCCACATTTCCTTCATATTCCAATAAATCTTTTAAACTCTGATACAGGACCTAACAACCAGAAATGAAAAATTAGGTTACCATAATACTATAAAATACAGTAATTTGTATCCCTCTTCTAGGGAGGAGAAAAAAAAAAAAACCAAGAACAAAAAACCTGACAGAACTAAAGCATAGAAAGCATTCTCTCTGTCCCCCAAATAGTTTATGATACAGAAAGACTGACAGATACTGATCTAATTCTCTGCTGAGAAAACCAGAGCGTCAATTTAGCAATGGATTTTATCTTTGAGAGAACCTCAAAGGTTTCTCACAGTGAGGGAGGGGGTAGAGACAGAAACAGATGTACTAACTGTAGCCACCAAACCCCCTCTCCAGAGCAGCTCTGATTTCACCTGGCAATCTCATGTGGCTTCATTAAAAAACAAAAACCAAAAAACACCTAAAACCCCAAATCCAAAATGACATGTTAAAACAAAACTCATTCCTACAGAATCAGTCCTACAAAACTTGCCTGCTGACAGTTATACTAAATTTCCCCTTTGAGTTTTTAAGTGTTCATGGTACTTCAACAGATTAAAATTACTTTATTTCACTAAGTATAAATATTAATAAAAATGATTTCAAATGAAAACTAATTTTTTTACATAAATTAAACTTTAGTTTTGCTTTTAAATAAAATCTAAACATAAAATAAAAAATTACAGACTTACAGGGTGAGAATCTCCTAGGTCACGAAAAGTTCCTTTTTTCCCCATTAGCTTCCTGTAGACAACCATGGGAAAATGTACATCCAGTATACAGTTATTGTAAATAGCCAGACCCAGCACTATGCCAATCAGAGTGAACTGACCCTCAGTTTCAAAAGAGGATGGATTAAACCAAAACAATTTTGTAGATTCATCATATGTGAACATACCTATAAAAAATGATTTTAAAAAATATATTACTTTTATATTTTATTAAATATCGATGAATACAAATATAAAATAATTACACAAACTTATATGTAGTAAGTGCACAAAGTTTTTTCTCTATTACATGAACACTTGAGAGACCAAAGCTCATACATGATTGTTATAAATTGTGGCAAATGGTAGTATGTCATTTTAAGAAGCCATGGAAACAAAACAATAAGAAATTCTGGCTGCATTTTCCAAGAAGGTAGGGAAAATGTTCATTAAAGTTCTCTAACTGTCTACTAATACAAATGATAACTTAATTTGTATTGATACTTTATCCACTGAATGGTTGAAAATAAATGCAAAACCAAAAGGAAAAAAAAGCTTTATTAAAACATATTTAATCTACATGTGATTTCAAAAAATAGTTTTGAATTTCATCAAAGAAAAGTTTTTGTTTTTTGAAAACTGCAATGATCCCATGGTTTTTTTTTTAGCACCTTTCAAACAAAGTCAGACGAAGCCACGTACATAATAAGTTTAAATAAGTTTGATGAACTTAGATTATATCCAAAACCCAAAGCTATTAATACACACATTAATTGTGAGCCAATAAATAAAACAAAAGTAGCTTGCATTTATAGTCTTATTTCAATTTTACATGGTCTCCACTATTCAAAACCCAAGCTTAGAAATCTTTTTTGTATCATTCATTTTAAAAACTAGGAATGTTTGGTTTTACCTATCTGAATACCATTACTAAGGCAGAATTATTTTCTTCCCTTTAGACAAACAGAGTATCTAAGGAAAAGGTTACATGGTATTTTATGAATTTATGACTTTTCTCACTTTGCTAAAATGTTTTTCAATTGCTACTGTGCAACTGAATGAAAATACCTTAAGAATTAGGTCTGAGGGGCGCCGGCATGGCTCAGTCCATTAAGAGACTGCCTTAGGCTCAGGTCATGATCCCAGAGTCCTGGGATCAAGCCCCACACTGGGTTCTCTGCTCGGCAGGGAGCCCGCTTCCCCATCTCACGCTCCCCTTGCTTGCCTTGCTCTCTGTTTCCCTGTCAAATAAAATCTTAATTAAAAAAAAAAAAAAAAAAAAACTTAGTTCTGAAAAAAGGGGCAACGTCCAAAAGCACAAACTTTAGAAATCAGTATGACACATAAATACATTCATTTATATGATTTTTAAAAGCTTTAAAAATGTTTTGTTTTGTTTTTTAAGATTTTATTTATTTATTTGAGAAAGAGACAGTGAGAGAGAGCATGAGCGAGGAGAAGGTCAGAGGGAGAAGCAGACTCCCCATGGAGCTGGGAGCCCGATGTGGGACTCGATCCCGGAACTCCGGGATCATGACCTGAGCCGAAGGCAGTCGTCCAACCAATTGAGCCACCCAGGCGTCCCTGTTTTTTTTTTATTTTTATATTTAGTTTAAGTTCAATACAAAAGGAACTGTAAAGTGTTCCCTGGATCATCAAAGTATAAAGTAAGCAAGGACATTTTTTTAATGAAGTTAATGTTCATGAAGTAAAAGTGAAAATTATCCAATTTTCACCTGAATTTCAGTTTAGATCCAAACTTTATCAAGAACAGTAAAAAATTATTACAATTAATAAATAAATTTGATGAAATATCACAAATGTATGTCCTTGGTCTCAAGAGCAATAAACTACAAATTAATCAGAATATAAATTACAGAGGCCATTACTCTCATCTGTGTTATGAAGATTATAATTTTAACGTTCAAAGTGATTCCATTTTGGGCACATTTTTGCCAGTCCCTGGAAGAAATGCACCATAAAAAGTGGCTCTTCTAAAATATTCATTTCTGATAGTTTTAACTACTATCATTTCAATTACCTTACTATCAAGTGGAACTATTAAATGTTATGTTTTTCTCTTGAAAGTATTTCTGCATATAATGTTAGTATGCTTTACAGCTGATGTTTAACGTGTCGAGACACAAAGGAACCCAGAGCTAAGGTTTACCAAACCCAAGAAGATCACAAATTAATTTTCTTTCAAAAAAAGGCATGGTTTTAGGTGTCTTGATTTACTTTGAGCAAATTACGTGGAAATTACATAGGCTTCTGATTAATAAACATTAGCTAAAGTAGTCTTAACTGTATACATGTCATGAATTCAAATGTCTACTTCCATTTACATGTATGTATATATATTACCAACTAAGAATAACAGAAAAGTCAATTCAATGTACATACTGAGAATCAACAAGCTCAATTTTCAAAGCTTAATGGAAATGATATATGCATTATTCTATGTCACATTCTTTACAATTCTGACAGTATATTTAATGGAATTCTTTTCCTGTAACTGTCATGCATTCAGTTGTAAAAATAAGCAAACCTAGTAACCAAGTTAGTGGTTATATTACAGAACTACACAGTCCTATACTATACAGTTCAGAACTACACAGTTAAGAATACAATCCAAGATGCTGCAGTCTTTTACCAGCTCTACTTTACCCACTTTTATTAGTAAAACTCAAATCCTTCACTTTCAAACTGACATATATAGATAAGTTTTTCCCGAACTGTTCAATAAAAAACATTTCTGGGAGGCAAATGTGGGGTGGGAAAGAGTTCTGGAGTTTAAAGAGTTTGGGAAAACAATGTAATATTACGCCCCATGAAATCCTGTAGCAAATAAAACTTAATTAATTTGATACCAGTCAGGGTTTCCAAACTTTGAGCATGATACACTTGTGAGACATTCTCAACATTCTTCAGACCACTGTTTGAAATTCTTATTTCAGAAATGCTGTAAGTTTGACGAATGTTTAGAATTAAAAGAGCAAGAAATCTTTCAGTTGTTCTAATGTACCATTCTAAAGTGTTTTCAGTTTATTTAACTACGAGATTATGTCCTGTAGTAAAATATTTGGCTAAGTAATCTAAATAAGAACTTGAGTAAATGAGTGATGCAAATCAGTACTCCAAACCCACAAGTTCAGTCATTAACCGTGACTCTAGGAAATCCACATCAAAACCTATTACTGTTCTTTGTAACTGAGAATATTTATAAACCCTCGTAAACAAACCTTTAATTCAAAAGATATGACATCATGATCACATCACTGAAATATTTACCAATATCTGGATTGAAGATTTCCTCCACAACCAGCTGAAAAAATTCTTTGGAAACACCTCCCTCATCAACTCCTTGTTCTCCTTCAAATTCCACATACAACTGTTTCTTCAAGTCTGCAGGATTTTCCATAGCGATCATCTCTAGCTAATGAGTGAAAAAAGTGAAAAGAAGATGACTGCCAGTTTAAGAATGAAAGCAAAATAAAAATAAGGAGAAGCAAAAAATAAAAACCAGGAGTAGGGCTATGGAGCAAATAAAAAATACTGACTTTTGGTCCGTTTTAAATGGAAACAGGAAGCAAACTGGTAAAAAGCCAGTAAAGGCAAAGATTCAGTCTCACAGATATTAGAAAAAAATAGGACAGTAAAGAAACCAGCACAGATTTATAAAAGGTTACTTTCTCACTACGGATTTGTTATGAAATTAACATATAGTAGAAAATTAAAAGGTTTTTGTTTGTTTGTTTGTTTGTTACTTCTGTATAACAAACCTAGGTTGTAAGGTTAGGATGTAAAAAGAAGTCTTGACAGCCAAATACATATGATACTACTCAAACTAAATCATTTCAACAAAAACAATGGAGTATAAAAGTTTGGCTTCAAATTTGTTCACTAGTAGTTCTTTATGTTTAATAGAACAGAAACTAAGAAAACAATTTCAACTAAGAGAAAAAAACACCCTGAATAAATAGGGAAACAATTTATGGTCTCTTATAGTACTTAGTATAAATTTCCACTTCTTAGTTGATCACAGCACATCTCATATACACTTTTTTTTGGAAGCAGATGAGACATACGCTTGCTCATATCCTTACTCCTTATTTCTTACTAACAAGTTATCAAACCCTAGTATCTAGCATTTTTTAACTATAAATCTTTACCAGATACTTCTTTGTATTTACAGAATATACATAGTAACTGATCTTAGTCATTAAGAAATTAATCTGAAAATCCATACTAGATTCGAATGTGAAATTATACTGCATTTTTTTTTTAATGTATCTGAGATTTACTAAAAGCTTGCCTGATTGTTCACCCACCTTATTTGCTACATTGACTTTAAATGCCGTTTGGCTGTTAAAAAAAATTTAAATTTGCCAAAACAGAATATTTAATAAGGGTGTTCAAGTAACTGCAACTATTCCAACTAGAATTTTAAAAATGGTTTTGAGCAATTCAAACATCAACAAAGTAACTTTACTACAGTCCTAAAGTAATGACTTTAGGTAACAGCACTAGTTTGAACATTCTAGCATGTCTATAAAAAATAAAATAAAATTTCCTAGTCATAAATCAAGCCAGTTGCCCTAGATCAATGTTTTTCAAACAGCCAATTGAAACTCCCTAGTGAGTAGCCTAGTCCGTTCATTTAGCAGTTTAAAACCAACAATGGGAGGAAAAACTCAGAACGTATTCCATATAGTAATGGTATCTACTGTTCTCTGAAACTTCTATTTCCATTATATGTAGAGACAGATATGCACGTGTACACCTAATGCTATGCAAAATATCTTACTTGGGACTCAGTCAAAAACATTTTAAGAACAAAGGCTGAAATGATCTCTTAGATACCTTCAACTTTTGGATTCTATAATTCTGTGAATTTTGGATCTTTAGCTTTAAGAAATGTGCTGCACAACAGTGGTCTTTAATGTTTACAAAACCATTTTTATGCCAAGTTATATTAGGATAACTTATTTTTGAGACAGAGTGTAGTGGAGACTGAGACAGAATACTCTGTACTAGTTCCAACTATCACTTAACTTTTAAAATTTAAATTTTAGCAAGCGACTCAGGTAAGCCTCAGTTTCCTCATCTGCAAAGAAAAAAAAGGAATAGTACTCTTCATACTGAAAAGATGTGAAGGCTTAATAAAAATATATAGCAAAGAGTTCTAGAATAGGCAATATTAAGGGAACATATCATGTTGCAACCTTTTAAAACAACTTTGATCTTTGAACAAAAGATTCACAAAATTTGGTGTTATAGCCTTTCCCAAGTTTTGAAAATAACCTTGGGGAAAAATAGTTCCAGTTGGAAACCTGTTTCAAGCCACAGAAAATAAAGAATGCTGAGAACTAAATTAGAATTATCAGCTCCAATGTGGTTTACCCATCACGCCAACATCCCATATTGCCATGGAACGCATTCCTAGTTTCCTTCTTCCAGTTCCCACCTGCCTAGGTGTTAAAGGAATATAAGTCAATGTTTATATATGCCCTTATAACACAAAGACAAACCTGCTTATAATCAAAAATATAATGCATTCCAAGGTGAAAAAAATTATCTGATATTTAAATTATGCTTCCTATAGTTCTTCCTCAGTAACATTCATAAATGAGAGCAGACTCCATTATCAACGTGACTGTATCTTTTAAAGGATTTGGTGTTGTTTCTACAGAATTCTGAGACCATGTGCTGCAATCTTAGCTCCACCTGAGACACTTTATATGACACTGAAACAAATTTATCTTCATTCTTAATATTAAATATTACTATATGTCCGTCTCCACTGAGTGCCAAAATAATTCAACGTCACGTTCTATAATTGTAATTGTAAACATATAGCTTTATCTTTTTTAGTTTCATCTTTGAAATGAGAACACTATTTTAAGAAGAAATAAATAGATTATTAGATGAATTATTAGATTATTAGATGAATTCCCTGTACAACAATGCCTTATAGCACTAGCTTTTGTTGCTATTGTTACTTTAACTTGTATGGGAAATTTTTTCAGGCTTGCCTGAAAACCGAACAAACCAGACATTACAGAAAAAATATTCCAGTAAAAATAACACAACAATATATAGCACTTACATGCCAGGGGACTATTCTAAGCACTTCACATATGCCAATTCATTTCACTTTCACAACCTTATGTGGCCAGTAATTTCAAGCTCATTTTACAGATGAAGACCCCAAAGTAATAAGAGATTCAATAACTTGCTTCCAGTATTAGCTCTAATTCAGGCACCAAGTTCTTAAATACTATGCCTTCCTGCTCTCTGCAATGACTACCAAGTAACTTATTTTATTCCTTGTGCTTTTCTATATTTTTAAGTATTTTTAAAAAAATAAACATCTATTTTAGAATCAGGATGTTAAATGCAAATATGTAAAAATAATGGTTTGAAAAACAGGTGGCAAATGAACTCTGCAGGCAAAAATTTCCCATTATTATCTATATTAGATTATCATTATCAGGTATATATTAAGGGGCTCTGGAATACTTTTATCATTTATGTATACATGGGTAGCCTACCTTTAAATAACAATTTTTACTTTTAATTGTAACATAAAATTTACCAGTTATCATTTTGACAAAGGCTATTATGAAGTAACACACTGCATATTTTATTTTTCTTAAAACAACCACTTCTGACTCATTGAATTGAACGGTAAAGGTGTTATCACTTTCTGTAATTTATACATACCATTTAGAACAGAATTTTCACAATCAAAAGCTGTCCTGAATGCAGTAGGATATGTGGAAACTTAAATGTCAGTGAACACTTATTCTGCAAAGGAGAATTTGTATGCATCCCTGAACAGAAATCACTTAGTATACAGACCTGTGTTTTTATATATAGAATTTCTTAAAGGAGGGTATGTTAATTTAATATGGAGACTGGCAAAAGACAGATTTTTGGGGAAAAATAAACAAAAATAGACTGGACATAATGACATCTACCTCTTCCTTATATGACTTCCTCTTCTTACTAAGACTCTTGATTTCATCAATTGTTGGACAAAACGATTTTCAATTTCTGAACTTTTAATTGGCCATGATGATGAAATCCTGGAGAGATCATTTTTAAAAAATTGATCTGGTATCAAAGCATTCCCAGAATACCTAGGTAGGATGACATCTTAATAATAAAAATATCATATCTGCCAGATTTACAAGAGTCAAAAGGAAAACCCCATCTTTTAAAATCTTAGAGTATTCTGGGCTATTACTCATGATAAAGTCATCTTTATCCATAATTGAAAAAAAATGCCTTAATAGTAAAGATATTTAAGTAGTAGTAGTAGTCACATAAAATAGACCTCCCTAATACTTAAGAAAACCTAGGATCTCTAAGAATGGCTGGCTTAAGCAACTTCATTCAACTTAACTAGATTCTACGGTTAAACACTTTACCTTTAAGATAGTGGCTACAATAAGATCTTTAGATTATCCAAATATATTTAATTTTTTTTAATTCTCTAAAACAGATGAAGGAAAGTTTTTTATATCTTATGTATAAAGTTTAGATGTTTGGGTAACAGTCATTTCATATAATCACATCTGCTTCTGAGACCAGGAACCCTGACTTCTACTTCCAATTCTGCCATTAATTTCTGTAGGCCAGAATTTCTTTTTTCTCACATATAAAGGTAAGGAGTTTGACAAATTTCATTGTTTTAGATTATTATAGGATCCTGAGAATCTAAGTAGATCTACTTAATTCTCTTAATCTCCTTTGAAAACATTAAATTGGGCATGAAGTTCTTCATTTCATTTAGAATAAATTATAATGATCACTGCATTGAGCACAATATAGTGAATGTATAAGACACAATTAATCATACTCAGAGCAGCACAGGATAATCTTATTCTTAAAGCACTATAGGTCAATTATTAAATAAAAGAACCAAGTTTTATTTCAATAATAACCAAGGGTATTTGCCAAGGAAAATGGTGGGGATTAGGACAGATAGCACTGTTAGAGCCCAGAAAAAAATGATTTTTTTTAGAAGGGATTGAGCAGAACCAATTGGTAGTGGGGCTATTTATTTGTGTCTATCACTTTGATCTGTACTAGTTCATATTTTGGACTCTCCTATACAGTTCTCCATTTCAGCCATTCCTTTTGGTCTTTAGATCCCTACACAGAATTCTAGGATTCCCTGACTAATCTGAACCAAGTCACACACCAACATCAATCCTTACTCTAAACCTGCTATTTTCATCATCCTCTCAAAGACTGCCAGTTTCCTAAATGTATAACTGTATATAAATATGGCCTCAATAAATATGTATCTATAAACTATACCAATAGCCATCTTTCCCAAATACTGGTTTGCAGTATGGCTTTATCAGAGTATCTGGGGGCACTGCCAGAAATATAATTCCTAGGCTCTACAATGAACTCCCAGTCTGAATCTCTAGATGGTAGAACCTTGGATTTTTTTTTTTTAAAACATTATTTCCTGTTTAGATGGGAAGACAGTTTGGGGTATGTCACAGATGGCAATATTGTCTTCCATGATACTCCATCCTCTACTAACATAATCTTTTAAAATAAAAAATAATGAAAATAAATGTTCAGACCCTTTTCCTTTGGAAATGCTTTGTCTAAGAAAAATGACAAATTATCTGCTTTTAAAGAATACACAAATAGATAAATGTTATTAGTAAAATATAGTAAAAGCCTATCATGATTTGGATTGTTAATTCAAGTGAGCTCATAAGTATCACTGTATTATTTTCTAAGAAACAACAACAACATATAGTGAAAATAAGTCCAGGGAGAAATATTCCAATAATTTGAAGTGTGGGGTAGTCCTTAAATGATTCTGAGACACCTACTTGGGAAAAGGCAACTTATATTTTACCATACTTCATTGATTCTAAAATTCATTTTTTTCCACATTTTAACATCTCTGAAATCAGGATATACCATAAAACTGGTAGCATCTCAAGACAATTGGCAGCATATTTTCCTACTACTAAAAGTGGTAAGAAAATAACCGTGTGTCCTACAATCAACAGTATCTAAGTTTCAATACACTAATTCTTCAGCTGTCATCAAAGGCAACTCCTCTAGGGGCACCTGGGTGCAGCTGTCATCAAAAATAGTTCCTCAAGGGGCTCCTAGGCACAGCTGTCATCGAAGACAGTTCCCCTAGGGGCGCCTGGGTGGCGGAGCTGGTTGTGGATCCAACTCTTAGTCTGGGCTCAAGTCATATCTCAAGCCCTGCATTGGGCTCTGCATGGAGTCCACTTGAGATTCTCTTTCCCTTCACCTCTGCCTGTCCCACTCATGCTCGCTCGCTCTCTCATAAATAAGTAAATCTTAAAACAAAAACCCAGGTCCTCTGAATACTCCAGTTAGTAAATACTTGGCTCGTGTGGTATGAATTACATAATACATGAAAGTGAGGAACAGAGTTTTCTTTAAAAATAAATAAATAAATAAATCTGTAATTATTTTTTTTAAAGATTTTATTTATTTATTTGACAGACAGAGATCACAAGTAGGCAGAGAGGCAGGCAGACAGCAGGGTGGGGAAGCAGGCTCCCTGCTGAGCAGAGAGCCCGATGCAGGACTCGATCCCAGGACCCTGGGATCATGACCCGAGCCGAAGGCAGAGGCTTTAACCCTCTGAGCCACCCAGGCTCCCCTAAATCTGTAATTATTAACGGAAGGTACTACTCCTCCCTTTTCCACCATGCCAGCCAGTCTTACGATTAATAACTAAAAAATAAGACCTAACAGAAAACACACTCAAGTGTGTCATATATGTAGTCATTATTTTCTGGGCCTCATTTGTAGACGAATGAGTAGATGGAACTCCAAGGCTCCTTTTAGCTCTTAAAGTCTACAATTCTGTAACCTTAATTATTCAAATATTAATAATGAGCTCAGCAAATTTTTCATTTCCTCTTCTCTTCCCCACCCCACTCTGTAGGTCAAATTAGCAGGTCATAAAAAGTAGTCAGTAAGTTTTTTTTTTTGTTTTTTTTTTTGTCAAATTGTTACAGAAGAATAAGGCTTTAAAAAAGCAAAAGTAGATCCTTGAGGAATAAGATGTTAAACATCCATCAATACTCTGAGAGTTCAGCTGAGAGGATGACCTTAAACTACTTTTTGTTGTAAACCTTTTTGTTACTAAAATACTATGACTTTATCATAATCACACCACTATGAATATTTTTTTAAAAATAGGAGTCTCGGGGCGCCTGGGTGGCTCAGTGGGTTAAAGCCTCTGCCTTCAGCTCAGGTCATGATCTCAGGGTCTTAGGATCGAGCCCCGCATCAGGCTCTCTGCTCAGCAGGGAGCCTGCTTTCCCCTCTCTCTCTGCCTACTTGTGATCTCTCTCTGTCAAATAAAAAATAAAAAAAAAAAAAGGGTCTTAATTTTACTAACTCACATGGCCTACTGTGATTTTTTTTCCTAACATTTTCACATTGTTATTTTTAAAAAAGAAGAAAAAAGGAAAGAAGAGTAAAATTTGTTTAGTATGAGTATTTAATATGAGCATTTAGCACTAAGAAGATTCTCAGTTGTCATAATTCATCTTTACATCTCTAATGATTAGCAAAGTGCCTCACACACAAGATTTCTGAAGCAAACTGCTTTTGTGGACTTGTAATATTCATGTACAGATATTATCTAGTGAATCCCGATTTAAAATCGGTCAAATTGTAATATTCAGGTTTGACAGAATTAAGAATTCACTTAAAAAAAAAAACCAGTATAATTAAGAAGTTCAGAGTTCTACTCTTAAAACCCTCTTTTAAAAAAGACCTTATAAACCAAAATGACTGTTTCCTCAAAATTCTAGGTGATAAAAGAAGTATACAACAAGTACTTAAACTTTTCTAAGTTCTTAGCCTTGCTTTACTAAGAGGGGGAGGTGGTGGGAAACGAGGCAGGGGAAGGAAAATAAGGTTGGGTAGATTTCTTAGCTGACGGCAGGTAAGGAAGGTAGACAATTCTTTTTATTTCTAACTCTGTATTAATCTTATGAAGAGTAGTTTCATTCTTTTTTTAAATTAGGCAAGGCATAGCTTTTACAGGAAATAGATGAAAGGATCCCAACCCAAGAAGCCAAATATAAAATGCATGGTCTCAGAATTTACAGTTCTGCTCTAACAACCGAAATTCAAAGATAGACCTCGATGTACTTTCCACAATACATCACTCAACGTCCTTATATGATACCCCATCATTCTGCCGACCTACATAAAAGTTGGGGCTGCCTGATGATTATATTAGTTATTTATGTAGCTCAAAACTACAAGAGTGTAATAAAAAGAACACCAGAAAGCAAGCAATGATAGTTACTCCAAACAACTAGTGCCTTTCTGCCTCTGTTGAAAAACTGCTTGAGTTGCCTAAGGCAGAATTCCTCAACACTAGAAATGTATTTGGTGTTCTTAAAAACCAGTTAACAAACAGAAGAGGCACACAATCTCTGCAACTTTCAAATTTCTGAGATATCAAACAACTCTTTCCATTGGTTTAGTTTTATGAATACTCAGATTTAGACAAATCCATCCTAAAACTAAAATATACTTTAAAATAAGTATCACTATTTCCTAGTTGTGTCGTGCATTCTTATCTTTTATTAGTATGGAAGGTTGACTGTACCTTAATTTTACCTGACATCAAATTTTACTTGAAGTTGTTTAAAAACAAAACAAAACAAAACTAGTAATGATGGGTGTATGTAATATCATAAATAAAACTCTGTGGTAAAGGGGGTGGCCCCTGGCTAGTACAGCATGAGACTCTTCATCTTGGGGTTTTGAGTTCTAACCCTATGTTGGGTGTAGAGATTACTTAAAAGTAAAACTTTAAAAAAAAAACACACACACACACAAAAATAACCTGTGATAAAGCACCCTATGACAAATGAAAATTTTGGTACTTGATTGGCAATTGGTTTTTGTCTTCTCCCAGGCCTGCATTCTTAAATGGGGGCACTAAAATTCTTACTTTTTGTGGAGGCAAGCAATTAACAAAAGGCAATCTGGAGAAACAGGAAGTTGGAAGGTGGGTATTTGAGTTCCTAATATTCTCCCAGCTCAATCTCCCTGGATTGGGTTGATGATAAAAAGCACCATTAATCAAGATTCCTGGAGTTTCAACCAACTCCAAGATACTTAAGTGGTAAGAAAATATCACAATAAGGCAGTGCTATACGAGGCATTCTGAGTGATCCAGCAGGAACTCTTACTAGCAGCACGCACCAAACTGCCCAGATCACTTCACCTTCACGATAACATAACTCTAAATTTTACATCATGGAATTTCTGGATACTACTTATTATTTCATGGTATGATTTTATTGTTTCACTCTTCCCAGTTAAGATTTGACATTCATACGTATTAGTGGGTATCTCCACATCCCCCTTGTTCCTGTGCTTTGGTCCTTTCCCAACATCCACTTGTCTTCTGAATAGAGAAGAAATTTTTGGAGTTATTTGTCCATATTTGGAAAATCTATTCGTTTTCAAATAGAGAGTGATCATTATTCGAGACAACCAATACTTTAAATTTGGACAGGAACAAAAGAATAATATTTACAACTTATAATACAAAAACATCCATATATTCCTATACCATATAATGCCGTATTTTTTTCAAGTGAATGCACTGAACTGTATTACAATCTCCCCAATATTAGGTATTTATTCTAGTACTAATTTTTAAGCATAAGCCCAACTTACCCGGACAAGTGCATCATCTATGATATGGTCACGTCTGACTTTGAGTCTCAAATACGGATTCAACTGCTGTCCTTGAACTAAGCTGTAGAGAACAGTGATTCTTCGTTCACTGTACATGCGAATTCTATTGTCATAATATAATCCCAAATTCTTTGTGACAGCATTCAATATAAAGGGACATGTCATGAAAGAGAATTTGTTCTCTGTTTCTACTTTGAAAAAAGTATAATCTTTATCCATTTCTAGAACATCATTCAGTGGTTCATTAATAAACTCTTCAAAAGGGATAAGTGGTTTTCGACAATCCAGAGTTTTAACACCAAGTTCAGTTTCCAGGGGGTCCACTCGAGGACCTTTCTTGTTTCTTCTTTCCTCTCCCAAAAGCTCCTGAAGTGTCAATTCACTGGACTCAGGGATGGGCTCTTCATCATCTTCTTCATTATGATTTGTGTCCACTTCCCCACCCACTACATTTGCATAGTAAACCATTTTCAAGCACTTTGAAGCAGCAACAATAGCATCATCATCATTCACTAGATTCCGACTGTTAAATTCATTGCTTATGACTTTGTAAGTAATAAGTTGCTGAAATGTTTCCATCATTCTACGAATCTGGTCTGCACTGTATTTAGACCACAGTCTAACCAATTTTCCTTGCGCTGCGAGGGGTAGCTTACTCATTGCTTTGCAAAATAAAGGCAAAGCCATTTCCAGATATTCAGGACTGTGGAGATTTCTATTCTCCATTACAATAATGAATAAATTCAGATAATTAGGATCTCGAGAGTATACATTGTGATACGTCAAGTCACATTCCACATTAGGTGACAAATACACAAGTGCATTGAGAAAAGCAGTTTCTATTTTTTCATTAGAGAGTAATCTGGTGTAGACCCTTCTAATGGCCTCAATATCCACAGACACATCATCAGGGCCTAATTTTTGTAAGTTGTTATCGCCTTGTGAACTATCACTTATCCTTGAAGAAGATGCCTCTGAATCTTCTTCCATAGCAGCAGCAGAACATGCAGCTTTTTCCTTTTCATCTTCATCTTTGTCTTCATCCTTTCCTTGAAGAGATTTAAGTTCTTCCTTGGTGTGTTGTTTGACTTTCCGAAAGCTCTGTACCAATGCCTCAGCACTAGAAAAAACTCTTCCAATAACACGGATCAAAGGGGAATAATCCTCTCTCTCTCTACATAATTCAAGAATTTCATATACCGTCTCTTCTGTTAGGTAAGTCACATCTAAAAAAATTAGAGAGAAAAAGGAGAACATTTATTTTTATAAGTATGTTTAACTTGTCTTAAGTTCTAGTGCAAAGTAAAATAGTATTGTACTCAATATCATTTATGACTTACAACTCTTTTAAAACATTTCTAATACTTAGATTCAACAAACAAAACAGATTTACTTATTTTTGTTAATGAACTACTATAAGAGCCAACAACCTCACCCATTCTTTGTACATTCTTTCAATAATATGTAGCTTTTAATGAGCTCAAACTCTTTCACAATCACAGTGGAAATTAACATGCAGCTTTAACTTATAAATATGAACCAAGACAATCATGTGTTGATTTGATTCATCACAATACACCTCTTACAATCTTATTTTAGAGCAGAAACACATTCTTCTGAGAGGCTTCTTTCTTATTTCACTCTTCCCAAAAGACTGAGGCAAAGTCAAGAAAGATTCTTTGAGCATCCTCTTTGGGAAACAGCCCTTGTCTAAGTTGTATCTTAAAATCAAACTGGTTCCTTCTGAGTCTTTTCAGTTTTTCCCAGGGTGGTCATTCCATGGGTGATTGAGAAAAATTACTACGCCATTTCTCATAAGATCTCAAGCTGACAAACAATGCCATCTGTAGCCAGGAATCAGGTTGGAATAAACAGGAAATAGTGACAAGAGTAATAAAAAATTGAGCGGTAGAAGGCAACTTAGAAGCAGACAAGTGAAAACAGATTACTATGTAGTCACCAAAATCTTTTTCTTCTCCTTTCTGGGCAGAATTGGATCGTATCTCCCAGCTTTCCCAGGTTTTTGAGGTTAAGTGCTACTTTCAGGCCAAGGCTTTTCCTTCTGGCTAAATGGGAGGACGTTCCCAGGATGCTTAGGAAGCCATGTGCTGAAGATTTACAATGACACTTCAGCAGCATTTCTGAATGATTATGTGATGTGGAACTTTGCCAACTAGAATATCAGGCTATTAGAGGACCTAGAAATAAATTTCCACTTTGTTTAATAAGCTAGTGCTTTTTCTGGTATATACTTAATATTGCAGTCTAGTTGATCCTTACTAATATAGAAAGAAGCTTTTCACCTTTCCCCACCTTGCCGTCAAAGACTTTAAAATACCAGCAGACTGTCTAAATTATGCTTATTAATCCTTCTTGGTACTTTTCTGGTGCTAAAAATTGTATAGGTCAGATGAGCTGATCAGTTTTTTTGCAGACTGCATTACCATCATAACCATTATTTTTGCAGTCTGTATTATTCAAATCCAAGGGAATTTTATTATGTTTTTCTATAACATCCATGAAATTGCATGATCAAGAAACAACCCTTTGTAAGAGGCAAAAATGACAGGAGGCAATGAAAGGCTAGACCAAATATCAATTTATTACACATTTTCAGAGTTATACTAATGTTAACAAGTTGAAATTCCAATGAAATCACAGAAGAAATAAGAATGAAAAGAACATTTCAAGGATTTTTTGAGATAAAAATCTCTGGAAGGAGGGACTACTACAGGGATGAAAGAGTCTATAGCAGTTTGCTGGTATGCATTTTACTTCCCTCTCACATCTGTCTCTAAATAGTAGCTTAGACCTCCATTATCACTTTTTTAAGTACTTTTATATTTGCTCTTTTTATATTTGCCAGAGAATACTCTTTCAAACAAAAACCAGATAAACATATGGCACTAATTCTCTTCAACAACAAAATATAAATCTATACATACATCCCCTTGAAAGGAATGAAGAGTTAAGTTTGGAGATTATGGAATGCATAAGCATTCCACTCCCAAAAGGGAATGCCACTGAATGAAACACATTAGAACAAAAAAGGAAAACTCCATGTGTGTTCCCTCTTATGCTTTGCTTACTCACACACACAAAAAAGAATTTTAACATGCTGTTTTCTAAAACTCCAAGTTGTCATCTTTTACTCAAATGTTAATTTATTTCATCAGTTTCATATGAGCTTTCATAACATTTAACTCTTTCACAGAAAGCACTGAATACAGTGATTGAAGAGGAAAACCATGTAAAACATTCCAACTCCTAGAGTAATAGATCTCAATGCTTGGAGACATCATACAATTGACAACTCACAGATTCAATACCTCAAATAATAAACTCCCTGGTACTTACCATGAGTTTCAATTTAAAAAAAGAAGGAAAAAATCCAACATTTTAAAAGTTAAAATTAACTTAGCTCTGATGTACTCACTCTCATGATCTATTCTCAAAAGAAAAACAAAAACAAAACCCCACCTTTCATTTTCTCACTTATAATCTGAGATAAGCTAAATAATCACAAAATTTCACCTTACCAAAGCTAAGAAATATACCTCAACAACACTATTTTTCTCTTATGACTTGCATGAATATCAGGCAACTGGGGATAAAATAAACTGTTTTAATATTCAAATAAGAACATAAATGATTACATTTCACATGAAAATATAGAAATAAAAACATTCTGACCCTATAGTCAAACAACCTCATTAAAAAAAAGTAAAAATATCCTTTAAACATTAGATAATTGAATTTCACTTTACAAATCAACTGTATAACCTATTCTAAAAGCTAAAGGAAGAATGAATGCTCTGAGCAAAGATAATTAAAAACACTTTAAAGTTCCATGTTACTTATATGTACATGTGTGCTTTTTGTGATCCCTAAGGACTATCACACATATCTGCTATTGCTCAAAGTATTCAAATGTTGGTCAACAGCTAAGACTAACCAATTACTAAAAGGAAATGAAACCATTAATGATCGACCAAAGGACATAATTTTCAACTGATATAAAGATGTCTACATTCAATGCTGGATAGTACCCCCAGAGTTTTGTGTCCTGAGTTATCCTAATTTAGTTCACACGAATACGGCAACTTATATTTTATACTGAGATTATTTATAACTCCAAATTAGAATTATTAATCATTCAGTATCTAAAAGGTGATCTTATGAAACTCTGGTCTTCCTCTAACTCTCTAATATACCTGGACAGACACTGTAGGCTGGCAAACTCCAAATCTATTCACCCCTCTTCTCTGACATGCCATCATATAACAGAAACTATAAAAACTAAACACTAGTATTCTAATCCTCATTTGCACCTGGGGGATGACATGTGGCACAGGTCTGCCAATTACCTAAGTGGAAGTCCACTGATGCACTTCTGAAGGTTTATTTTCCTGATAAACGGGGTCAAACATGATTAACTCATATTATGAGTGCAACAGAATCGCCTAATTTTTTATTAATATATCAAATAAGCTAATAACATCTTCAAATTATTTAAGCATAAGCTATACATGTCTCTACAAATTATAAAATACTGTCCTTCAAATTAAAAAGTAAAAAGCAATGTTTACTAATATTTCCAAGACCATTTTCCATAAGGCAGTACTATACAAGCCAATAAAAAACACCATCAAATTGTGGAAGAAATAAAAACGGAGCACCCCAAATAGTCTCTGCATTTTGAATAAACTATTCAGATACATTATTTTACAGGAAAGAGAAAAAATGATATATTTTGTCTATTAATTTTATGGAGATTATATTTCTAAAATATAGTACACTATAATAAAAGTCTAAATATACCAAGGAAGTGGCAGGCCTGTCAACAAATACTTAATTGAAGCAGAGGATAATTTTAGAGGCACAGAGGTAATTTAATCTTCATTGTGACAAATGGACTCCTATACATGTACTGTACAACATATAAAATTTCTCAATAAAATTTCTACCTCTTTTAATATTTGTTTCACAAAGATAAGATACATGCAAATGATCATTAAATGAACAACTATAAAAGTTCAACCACAAAAGTAACAGTTTACCACACCGTGAATCTGATCTTCGGCCCCTGCTACCAGACTGTCAACACCTGTAGTTTCTTTTATGGGCTTTAACTCTTTAAGAGTTAATCTTTAGATCTGTTCTATTACGATATGTAGATATCCCTGCTTTTCGAAAGTTCCCACTAGGCAACCTCACTTATAGTAAGAAAGTTAAAAAGCAAAAAAGCGTTTAGTGTTTGTTTTACTGGAAGCCATTACAGAGGCAAAACATACTCTGAGGAGCAAGAGCAGCACTGACATCCCCTTCCCCAAGAATTACACTCAGCATCTCAGCCTCAAGTCACCATAGCTTTGAACTGTGTCTGTGGGCGTCTGTGTTTATCTCAATTCATTTTGTACATCCATTAGTAAGATGTGTCCTAAGGTATCAGAAAAACCTAAGAGAGGCTATTTTTTGGATAAGGGAACCTCAAAATGTTTTCTGTATAAATTAATGATAATTGCTTCTTCGCTGCGTATGCCATTTTGGCTCATGAAAGTTTCATAGGACTGCTCTACTTTCAGAGGACATCTTCTGCTAAACATCAGTAATCTCTTTCCAAAAAGTGTGAAACTGCTAACTGGGAGCTTATTTCCCATTATTTTAACTGGAAAAAAATTGTAACACCTTCTTACAAGAAAATGAAAAACCCCCCATTTCCTAAAATGTAACCAAAGTAGAGTAAATAACTATTATAAAGTAACCATCTTGTTGGACATAAAATACTGTTTCCTAAATCACCAAATCATAAACTTAATAACAAAAAGTTATTTTTCATGAATCACATGCTGTATCTTACCGGACAGCGACACTCTAGACCCAGACACCCTTTGTTGACATGTTGTTCAGAAAACCTTCAAGTGATTCTGACATTCTATTAATTCCATATAAAATGTATCAATACTTTCCCTAGATAGTGTTTTGTTTAAAATATTGAACTGAATTTTTCAGACAAAAATTAGTTTAAAAAACACTAGATACAAATATTCACAATGTTTATCAATAAAAAGAGATGTTCTACTGAGAAAATATTAAATGAAGAAACATTCCTATATGGGATATCTGTATATTTTGTAATATATGTATGTTCCTGAAAATAAACTTAATCTACAAAATTTTACACTTAAAATTTTTATGCAAAAACAGAATTTGGGGCACACTAAACAATACATATAGAATTTTGTAAAGAGAACCAACAAATATAATTAACAATAAAAATGAAAGTACTAGTGTAGTTAATGCATTTGTAATTCCTAGTAGAAAAAAATACTACAGTAAATAGAAAGTTAAGAGAAAAAAGGGAGTAGGAGGACAGAGTAGCATATTGGAATAAAGTATAAAGGACTGCTAAATTACACAGACTTGAGTAAAAATAGGAAACAAAGACTCGGAATAACCACTCAATAAGCACCTATGATGAAGCACATAGCAAAAAGATGTGTCCATCCACCCTGTACTATAATCCCCTACTGCAGACTGCATTTAACTGCACCAGCGCATTCTACATTTAGTAACTGTTACTCTGTGATGCACACTTGCTAGAGAAATGTGTATAATGGAGTTTCTGCAACTTCCCTGTTACACATACTGACAACATTAACCTACTTATCTACAGTGTATGAGCTAGATCATGTTAACAAGCACACCTTTTGAAGCTGTGTAAAGTTACCAAGTTATGAAAACACCTTTTACTGTGAGGTTAAAGTAAAAAATACAAGAAAATTCCATGTCACCAATTAAATTAAATCTGCATTTAAATCATGCTACTGAAAACTTCAGAGCTGTTCTCCAACTTATACATGTCTTCCACAAAAACCTTCCCCTTTTAAAATATAATAACCTCTGGTAGGGCTGAGCCCTGTCAAATTATTCAGAAATTCAATTACCTTGTTACTAACACTGATTAGTAACTGAGGAAAAGAAAGCTTGGATTTAAAGATTTAAAAATTTTTTTTTAAAAATTTTTAAAAAATGATCCTGAAATGCAGGATCATTTAGAAAACAAGGGCTTAGGTGAAGACTGCCACTGGTAGGTGGTGACGATTCTTGGCAGCATGTGTGTGCCAAATGCCTAGAAGAATCTGAGCAGGATATGTGAAGAATATTAGAAAGAAAAACTGAATTATTTCTCAACGGCTACAAAATTTTGCTTTGCCCTCAGAAATGGAAAAGAATGCCAACACTTCTTTCTGCTTCTTTCACCTCACAGTTCTAGGGTTCCACAACTCATTCCACATATTCAGTCCAGCTATTTGATAATTTAGTTAGATTTTGTGGTCTAGTTTAAGAGATTACCACTTATTATATTTTTCCTAGTGGAAAATGTTCAAAAACTTCCATTAACAAAGGAATCCATTAACAAAGGAACTTTTGGAATATAATCTGCTTCTATTTAGGGACCATTAGAACACTAAAGTGTTCTTAAACCGTTACTTCAATTATTAGTTCTGTCCTTTATCGCAATAAGTAATAGAGTGGTAAATAAATACCACTGTACTATCATGTCCTAACGTCCACACAATTAGACAAAACAAACAAAAATGTCACACATTTTATTTAAATCTCCAATCCAGGTTTCAGTCAAAAACTCTCAATTAAAAATAGAACATCTTACCTCTAAAATCATCTCTTGCTCCTTGTCCTTCCTTCTTGTTCATTTTTATGTCAGAGCAGGAATTGTTAGGGGCACCTTTCGAGTTTTCAAGGTAAGCTGAGCTGGCTCCTTTCTTGGAGGGATGAGGATCACAGAGTTTTGCATTAATCTTATAAAGCTCGAGGGCTTTAATAGCTGCTGCATTGTTATCCATACGAAGAAAAGTTGGACAGGAAGCACAAAATTCATTCGTGCAGGCCTCATTTCCACAGCCCTCAGTTAACTGGTGGTAGTAGCGTTCTATTAGATGCTTTGCAGCTGCTCGCTTCCTGTAGCAAACATTCAAACGATAAGCACAGTGATTAAGATTAGTATAGCTCCCATGTAAAAAGCTCAAGGGATCTTAAAGCAAGGCAAGTTAGTCAAGCAATAAAGTAATAAATCTGCATATTAAGATGAGGTGAAGAACATGGAGATTCACTGTTTATATACAACTTTTAACCAGTGAAATGTTTGATAAAATACTGCCTAAGATACCTCTTTTTTTTTTTTTAGCAGAAATTCTATAAACATTTTATTCATTGTTTTTAAGAAAGTAGCTTCAGAAAAAGAGGAAAACAATCTAGGTCATACACACACACACACACACACACACACACACACACACACACACATACATATATATACTTTTTAATAAAAACTTTTACATAATCTTCATGCATAAAGACCCAGAGGTGGCCATTTGTCTGTGACAGCTCTAATTCCAGCTGTCAAAGGCCTTTACCTGGGACTCCCCATAGCTGACAGCAATGTAGCAAAGGTCCTCCTCTTGCCCATAAAGCCCAGCTGCCTGCCTGCCTCAGTAACAGTTTTATGTTCTGGGACTGTAGAAAATGGGTAGGAAATGCTTTGGGCTAGAATAGGAAGGACAGGGAGGACTGCCCAACCTGCCATGTTTTATCCAAACTCTTCAGGCAAATCCAGACAGGAAGCCTAGCAAGATGAATAAAAACCAGGGACCAAACTTAGTTCTGGAGCTTCCCAGAGACATGGAGTCTGTGACCATGAGTTCCTGCACATGGTAGTAGGAAAAGTTTGATGCTTGTGGAACATTCAAGGCAGGAACAAACAAGCCTTAAAGATCCATCCCTCCATGGCAGGCACACACTTCTACGCTAAAAGAGTCAGAAAGACTCTCTGTTCTGCTTCCTAACTCAGTCCAACCCTCTTTTGACTCTAAATCACAACAACTTAAGACACAAATTTTCCTTCCTTCTGTGGAAGGACAGTCCTTGTTCAACATCTGTCCTATTATAAAAGGGCTGGGGTAGGAGTAGGGTAGCAGGTTGGCATGGAGGGCCACTGACCCAGAATAGCTGAGAGTGGAAAGGATTCCCTGGTTCTCTGGGGGGAATTCTGCAAAAGGTATTTTATTGACCATTTTTTAAAAGGGGGGGGGGGGAATGGTCTTAAAGATGGTAAAAAAGAGACTTGGCTTCTTTCTTGGGTTCTGAAAGCCCAATGCTTTGTTCAGTATTAACAAAAGCCCTGAACAAACGGAGGATGCTGCTTGGGGCAGCAGGAAAAGAGGATGGATTTCATAGCCAACCAAGAGAATGGCAAACAGTGCCAATCAATTCAATTTGGAGGGATCTCTGTGTGGTGAGTATGAATGAGCAGGTGAGTGTGGTGGGAGGAACCTGGGGTTCACTGGCTCCAAACAGTCAACTGTAACAGGTTCATCAAAATCACTGCTGAAATAAAATGTGCTTTTCTTTGGTTTAAAAAAAGGGAGAAAAAAACTTGTTTGATGGTGTATGTGCTTCAATTATTTAGCAGAACAAATGAAAGTCACAAGGTTTATGGCCAAGACTTTTAGTATTTAATCATTTTAAAAAACTAACATTTAAGAATATGAGAGTCTAGTTAAAAGTATCAATCCAACTTCCGTTTATGTAATTACTATTTTAATAGTTTGTAAATACTTGATTTATAGTTAACACAGAACTTCTAACTGGAAACTTTTTTTTCCTCCCAATTATCTACCATGAGAGATATAAAAATAAACTTATAAATGAAATATCCAAAGCTGTGTTATACTACAAGAAAATGATTCTGAGCATATAATGCTGAACCTAAAACATGTCACTGAACTTGCTCATTAATGCCATGTCATAGAAACATGGAATATTTTAAGTTCCCTTAGGGCAAAGTCTTGTTTCACTACTACAACGAGAACCTAAAATATGTAGATTCACGTTCTTAACTGGCTGTTCTAGCAGAGCTTGCAAAGATACTGAAGAAGAGATTATTTCATCAAGCAAGAAGCCAAGCTACAGTATCTACCTCTACGGTTTATTCAACTCTAAGATCTATGCTTCTACTGTCTGATAATGTGAGATTACCGTAACTTAAAAAAAGTAATCTACTGGATCCAAAGAAACATAATTCATAGCTATTCCTTTTGGTTTGAAATTCACATGCATGGGAATAAAAACTACAAAAAATCGAAACTATTAAAAAAAATTATTTGACTCTCTAAATGTTCCACAATTATCTTACTAACATGTAAGACTAAATGGCAAATGGCAAAAGAGTTCACATCTTGTTAATTGTGGGCTATATCTTGTTAATCATGAGAAACTGAACAAGAAGGCAAATGAGCAGTAGATAAGACTTTTGTCTCAAAAGTAGAACTTTGTCTCTAAATTATCAAGGTAAGTGACAAAGACTAGCACAATTAACCCTTGAACAATGTTAGCATCAGGGGTACAACCCCCTTGCACAGTTGAAATCTGCATATAACCTTAGATTCCCCTATAACTTAACTTCAAATACCCTACTACTGACCAGAAACCTTACCAATAACATAAAAAGGCAATTAACACTTTCATATGTTATATGTATTATATACTATATTCTTACATTAAAGTGAGCTAGAGAAAAGAAAATATTTATAAAATCTTAAGGAAGACAAAATACATTTATAGTACTGTCCGGATTTATCAACATGTAAAAAATATATATATATTTGTGCGGGTATATATATACCCGCACAATTCAAACCTATGTTGTTCAAGGGTCAACTGTAATTCAAAAACATTCAATTCATTCTGATGCTTCTATTTTTCAAATGTTCCATGCAAACCCATGCATGCAAAGAGAGAGAGAAAAAAAACCCTACAAAACACACTTAAAAACTGCATGGGCATCACCTATTTTATTACACGTACCTACAAACAATCCAATTTCTGAAAATTAAAGATTATTCCAGATATATCACCATGCAAAACAGTAAAGTAACAACATGTAAAGAAAGAAATACAGAACCTAGAAGATTTATATATACCATATGTTGCTATCATTTATTAAAGAATGGGAGATTAATAATACCATCTTCTCCAGAAATACAGTAGCTTTCCCTAAGAAAATGTAAATGGAATGTATTTCTACTCTGTAGGAAAATTATGAACATATATCAAAGTTTTAAAATTATAATGTCTTAAAAAGTCTAAAAATATATGGAAAAATGTATTAACATTTTGATTTGAATAGCCTCAAGACTTATTAAATTGTCCATATGACTTTTTAATGATTAATTATAATTCAAAATACCAAATACTAGTTTGATATATATACAAATACATAATTTTTGAATAGCCTCAAAGCTTACTAAATTGTCTGTATAAGTTTTTAATGATTAATTATCAAAATTCAAAATACCAAACACTAGTTATTTTCTTAATAAGAATATCAGGTTTTGTCCTAAGAAAAACTTCCCCAAAACCGAGTCATATTACCTAATGCTTCTGTGTGTAATCCATAAAGGAGTGTGAACAGCAAAAATAGGACAAGACTGAGAAATTAGCAGATCTGAGTTACATGACCGCTCCTTCTGCCTCTAAAAACCTGTAAGATCCTAAACAAGTAATTCTCTGAGTCTCAGTTTTCCCACCTTTCAGTTCTAAAGTTTAGGTTATTCTACATAAGAGATAGGCAAACACAGTACTAGTGATTGATGAGTGTCTGGTAACATACTATGCACTCTGGTGTAGGTTATCTCATTTGAATCCCATGATGAGGATTACCTTCAGTTCACAGCTAAAGGAGACAGAACTGAAATAAAATCAAGTACTCAAGATCACATGAAGGAAAATGCAGAATCAGGACAAGAACAGGAGTCAGGGGTCTTTCGGCTCTGGAGTCTAAGTCATTTCCACTACATTGTCTCACAGAAAGTGACTGATTTCAAAATAATTCTTAACAACAGTAGTACTAAAAACTCCTTTAGGAAAAAAAAATTCCCCATAAATAATATGTAATCAAAAAAAAAAAGCAAAACCCTGAAAAATCAAAAATTTGAATCTCATATTTATGCATATCCACTACCTCATAAGTATAACCAAATTTTTTAAGGAAAAAATACCACAACATTCTGTAAAGTTAATGTATCTGTAATTTCTTGAGAACCAATGTGCTATAGATGTTCCCACTCTGGAAAGGCTGTAAGCCCTACCAGTTAAGAGCTTGCACTCTGAAGCCAGGCTCCCCAACTTCACATGTTGGCTCTGCCACTTGTAACTATGTAACTGTAAATGAGTTACTTAACATTTCTGTGTCTCTGATTCTTCATCATTAAAGTAATGGTATACATTAACAATTATCATGGGTGTGAGAGAATTAAATGAGTTAATGTATATAAAACAGTAAGAACACTGCCTGGCATCTAGTAAGCACCACGATGAGTTCGCTGCTATTACTGTTATGATTATTACTAAGATCTAAGTTTATGAATTAGCTATATAAACCATCATTGTGCTGATGCTCAGAGCAGTTACATAACAAGTTACAAATCTAGTAAGAGATTTGAGCCCAGGCTTGACTCAAACCTGGGTTTTAAAACCACTAAGAGGAGATTTAATATCAGACAGAAGAAAGCAGGCCCCCTCTATTCAGTCCACTTCTCTGCCCAAGACCTAGAAATAGTAGCTACACAGGTGAGACAGGACTGAAAAGAGGCCATGCCAGAACTTCCACGTTATCAGCAGAATCAATTATATTAAACATTTTTTCTTCTTTACTCACACCAATGATACCCTGAATTATCTCTGTACAATTCTGTATCCCCATCTAATTTAGAGCATATAGAAGGCCTCTATGTTGGGAATATGTACATAAATGATCTTTTTATAAATAAGTAAGTTGTACAGGGTTAATCCCTATATAGTAGGAGTCACCAAATCTTAGCTTATGGGCCAAATCTATCCTGCACCTGGTTTTTATAGCCCCCAAGATAAAAATGGTTTTCATAATTTTAAATGGTTGACAA